ATAATATTATTTTTTTCATACTTTATATATTTTACATATTTACGTATTATTTTTATAAGTATGCAAAAAAAATGATAAATGAAATGATATAATTGCCAATTTGTTATATGTTGTCACTACAATTTCCCAAATTTTAATTAATTAATATGTAATTTGTTAATGATAGCCAATTGTCAATAGATAATATTGATAATTGTTCGTCTATTATATTTTTTCAATTTTATCAGTTGCTATTAAAACTTATAATGTGATTTGTTGATTTCGCACTTTCAATATCGCGATTTTAAATGTACTTGTCAAATTGAAAACCAAAGAACTATTTAACTATTTTGTGAGCCGGTGATTACAAATGTGAAATAAATCACAAACATGGGAAAAATAATTATATGCAAATTTTTATATATTATTTGACGCAAAATATACTTTTATAAAGCACTGCATGTCATTGCAGAAAATAAAATCATTAAATAATAAAATTGCTGATCGCGTTTATCTCGCTGTATTGTACGCTTTCTAATTAACAATATTTTCGATATATAAAAAGAAATACATATAAACGCACACATATAAACAGAAAGCCTATATTTATCTTTAAAATAAAAGATATGACTTAGACCACTTTTATCATCACGGGCGCAAATATCTTATTCTAACGCATTTTATCTTTGGATCTCATTGCGACTTTTCTCGTTCATTACCAAATTATTATTCATTGACGTTTTTTTCATATCGTGCACATGACATAGCTATCACGCTTCATTAGGAACATATTGTCGCTCGTCCGTATCGCTTATCTCGCTATATTGTACGCTTTCTAATTAACAAAAATCTCGTAAACGCTGTTGATACACACACAAGTCTCTCGCAAATACGTTTTATTTTTATCGAATAAGTGTGTTTCATGGCAGTACTTTCGATTCAGTACTTTCATCACCTGTTTGTATATTCGGTGGTTCTTTTTATTCTCGCGAAAAATATTACACATCGCTCGACGTTTGACGTGCTCGAAAACTTGAAAGAATCCACTCGAATCGATTGGTCCTTTTTTGACACAGATGTGGTCGAATTCGATTTAATATCCACACATTTGCCGTTCAGAAAAAATAGAAGATCCAGTACACGGCATTGAATAGCATGAAACTGACTGGGAAAATAATTCGCGAATACTTATCTATCATATTCACATCCTTGATCTTCGGCATCGATACGCGCAACACGGAAGCTCCTCTACGTAGAGCGTGTAATACCTAAAAAAATATATTGTACAAAACATAGAGAATATAAAAAATGCAAGCTATCGCTCTCTACTTTACTAAAAACAACGGAAAAAGGGCACTTTTTGCAAGTATATAAAGAGAAACGCATACATGTAAAAGAAATGAGATCACATAATGAGTTATAAATCGAAACCATCCAATACATTTGCTTTGTCATTTTTTTTATCTTCAGTTTTTAGAGAAATCAGCAATATTTTGTTTTAATCGTTTTATCATTTTATAATCAGAATACTTTTTTCGTTTCTTTATATAGGATATATTTATATCTTTTCTCACAAAAATGTGAAGTATAAAGATCATGTGGAAAGCGTTCAGACATCTTGTTGCATATTTTTTATAATTACATTGTGTGTTTAAGAATACCAGTAATATATATATAATTAAGCATACCTTTGGTTTGTGCGGTCTCGGGCCCCTGTACCTAAGACCGCTATTTCGAGTGTGCGTGTTGTAAGCTGCGACCCTGGAAATACGAAAGCTCGGCGGAAACTTGGCCGGGTCATGATCCTTTCCAGTTCCCGGCGTCGATGAAGCGCTGACTAGGCCTGACCTATTTCTAATGCTTGGCAGAGGTGACATTCTGAGATCCTGAAGCTCTATGATATCCGCGTTCGTAGAATCAGGAAAAGGCGAACTGGCTTTGCTTCCTGAAGTAGAATCGAAAATCAACCGAACGAAAAAATAATCGAAAAAGAAAGATCCTTGATTATAATATTCAGTTACCGATTTTAGAAGAGAGCACTTTCTTCTCGTCGGTCTCTTTCTTCTTGGTCTTTTTTTTTGCTCTGGCCCCCCAATATGTATAATTGACCGCTGCGTATTCCAACAGAGCCGCAAATACGAAAACGAAGCACATTACCAAGTAAATATCGATGGCTTTCACGTAACTAATCCGTGGCAGTGAGCTTCTAACACCCGTTGATATAGTTGTCATTGTTAACACAGTCGTAATACCTGAAAAAATAAGCTATAGATTTGTCTTCATATTTACCAAGAATTTTTCCCTAGAGAATTTTATAGAAAAAAGAGATTGTAGAGATAATTATAAATTTCTAATTCCAGAATAAAATAAAATTTACTAATTCTAAATTAATGGAAATTATAATTTTAATTTGAAATAATATATGAATAACTTTGATGACATATTTTAAAGAATTGCATAATTTATATAATCGTATATAAAAAACAGTTCATAAATAATTAATTAAAAAAAAAAATTAATCAGGTATAATAAGGCTAATGTTTTAATAAAAACGGAATTTTATCCCAATTTTACCGAGAGCTACTCTTGCGCTAGTAGCTTCATGATTGATCCAGAAGCTGACCCAGCTAAGCATCACGATCAGTATACTCGGCAGGTATGTCTGAAAAACGAAATAACCGATGTTCCTTTGTAATTTAAAGCTCAGCGAGAGTCTCTGATAGATGCCTGTTGCCAACTTCTCCTTTCGATCGTTGGTCTCGTAGCCGATTATCGTAAATTGTGGCAATTCCGCTTCCTCGACTCCGCGAACGGGAGTTTCTTTCCAGTACATTACTACGTCGAGAACTGTATAGCCATCTGAATATTTAAAATAGAATAGTTTAGAAGGGGGCATACAAATTATATTTTATTGGATCTTCTTGCGTTTTTCTCATTTATTGATCAGTATTCAAATAATTTGTTTCATAGGCGTTTTATTACATATATTCTAAGATTTCTAAACAACATTATTCCAAATTTAATAATTATAATTTTTAGATATAAATCTATAGAAGAATTTAATTTAAATAAATGTATAGGAGAGATATGTATGTATGTGTATATCTTTTTATATATGTATTATAAAATGTCGCTTTTTTTATGAAAGAAAAAAGAAGAAAAGTTTGATGAATGTTATATGTTCGAATGATCGATTATATTAGATACATATCCCAATATATACATACAACTCTCGATTTCGACGGTGCAATTCTGTGAATCGAGAGGATAATAATGCAGATCCATCATGCAGGCTAACGTTGTTGTGAATCTCATGCCGTATGTGACCGAACCGTCACCCGATAATCTGACGAGTTTGTTGCGCTCGGTGACGTCATGCAGAAAGCTGCAAACAGGTGAAACCAGTTCAGTAAAACAATATGCTAAAACACAATTCGCGATAAAGGAAAATGGGAATTCAAAACACGATAAAATGGTATGGTACGAATAATCAGCAAGTTTTTGAAGCGTTACTCATGAGTTATGCCTTGCCGCAATTACCTGTTTTTATCGTTTGCGAAAAACGTATCCGGGACCCAAATCTTTTCCGCGAAATCACCGCTTAACGTCAAGACTTCGTCCTCATGCGAAAAAGCGAGTCTCTCGTCCTTCCAGTATTGATTTAAGTACATCGTTATCGTATAATCCTGAGGCGCAGATAACGACATCAATGTAATTTATTATTATAATTAATTATGAAAAGAATTGATATATTTTATTATATCTTATACATAATTATTAAATGTTTATATGCCATAATTGTTCTCAAGACTTTTTACAGTTATTTATCATGCAGTTTATAAGAAGATTCTTTCTGCGGAAGAGATATTGCTCGAAGACTATCAATAGAGCCGATATTCAAGAGGATGGAGGAAAAAGGGAAACTTTGTCGACAGTCTAACGCAGTTTATCAGAGGCCTCAAGGTAAGAATCGATTTGAGAATGACGATAAAAATGTTATGAATGTTAGGTTGTAAGAGAAGTTTTGTGTTATCAAGATTCATATATGTAATATTTTTAACAGAGGTCTTGATGATGTACATTTGTATAAGTTTATAATGAATGATAATAATAATAAAATTTAGAAATAAATTTACATATAAATTGGATAGATTTACGTTTTTAAGATGTGTCAAATTTTTGTTACAATTTAATTTAATTCTTCGATACAAATTGATACTAAAAAATTAAGTTTAAAGTTGAAAAAGGATATCAAATTTATATTATTTTTCTAAAAATGTTAAAAAAATAGACTATATAAAAATCTTGCACTAAAAAAAAAATGTCTACTGTTTAAACATATATTATATTTTTTTTCTTTATTTTCTTACCATATTGACTTCTGAGATCGCATCGAAACTTGCAATGGTGAGATCCATCCCGACTAATAATGGATCACCTTTAAATAATAATCTCTCATTAAATATTGAAACATCTTTTGTGTATACAAAGAGAGAGAGAGAGAGAGAGAGAGAGAGAGAGAGAAGTGAGCATCCTAATTCCTTTTTTTTTAATTGTTCGCAACAGGGAGCCATTAAATGAATAAAGAAATAGATTAAAGCCTTTTTCTAATCCTGATGATAATATTGGCAAATTACTTCCCCTCGTTGCACGTTCGATTAAAAGCGCTGATTGCGATCGTGCTTCGTTGAATGGGCTGGAAAACTTCATTAAAAGCTTTTCTAGCGTTACATCTTTCTCTACCTTCAGGCGAACAGCTTTATTCTAGAATTTAGTTCTGTCAAATATAGCTCGATATCTAAATGTGAATAGTTTCCCAAAGTCCATTTTAAGTATAATATATATATATATATATATATATATATATATATACACATACATATATAATAATAAAGTTAATCCTTCTCACATTATAATACATTTAACTTTAATATTACGGTATAATTATAAAATTATATTCATTTGCGCTGAGAGAAACATATATATCTTCAGA